ACCCCTTTTAAATATTTTCTTTTTCCTTAATTCAATTTTTCCACATAATTCAAGTATTTTTTTGAGTGAAATTAAGGCATTAAAAAAGTTTTTTTTTTGTTGATAATAAAGAATGAAAAAAGGGAATTAAGAAACCTCATAATAATTTAATCTTCTTCTTTTTTTTTCCTTCTCTTATATTTGTTTAATTTTGTCTGACACGTCGTGCCTTCTTGTTCATTTTCGGTTGTTGACTGTTTGAACTGTCAACTGTTGATTGTGAAGATTATTTTGAATATTTAGAATAGTCGGAATTGTTAAGATTTGGGAGGGATTTATTTTGTTGTATCTGGATTGTGGGTCTTTACGCTATGTACTAAAATTAGATGCTTACATCTGTTAATTCTCATATAAATGCAAAATTTTGAGAGAAAAAGCAGTTAAGTGCCTTGCTGGTCGAATAGGTAAGTCGCTTGGCTCAAATTTGGGATGGTAACTCGAAGGTCGTCGGTTCGAATCCAGCCATTTCCAAATTTGTTCTTTTTCGGAAGTTTAGATACTTCGACTGCTTAATGTACGAGATCAAGCCATAATTGGGCATTTGGGCAATGTTGGATTAAGGAACGGGTCAGAAACTTGAGTGTAGCGTGAGAAATAGGAACGAGAGCTACAAGATTACCCACGAATGGAATATTGATAGAACGGACCTGAAAAGTATCACGTAACGCCTACAGAAGATCGAAACGAGAGCCTTAGTTTATTTGAAACCTAGATATGAAGATTAGAAGTTTGATCCTACATAATATTAATTCATATGTATACAAATACAAAAAGTGTAAAATGTGAATTATTACCGGACAGTATGTCGTCAATAAATGCAATAAAGTGCAATTAAAATAAAATGAAAATGAAAACGAAAATTTTAAAATTTCGCGCCAATTTTTTTCTTTTCGAAAAGAAAGTTGAAATAATTTGCTTCAAACGATCTTAAAGTTTAAATAGTTGTACTTATTCATCTCTTGCCATCTTTTCCTGATGTATAATGTCAAGAACTTTCTTTTTTGCATTATAATTTTTGAGAAAAAAGCAAAAAACTTCTCGAGGTGAAGAAGAAATTTGCCATTTTGAAAATTTGAATTGTTTGATTTGTTGTAGTTTTTTTAGGGGTATCTGGCGATCATAAAATGAATTACAATGGCTGGTAGGCTAGATAGGATGACTGAAAGCTTCAAAACTTGATATTTATTAATGATTTCACTCAATAGATTTTTTTAAACTCTTTAAAAATGATTTTTGACAAGTTTTCAAATAAAGAACCTTAAAACAATTAAGTCATACATCGCTTATGACCTTAAAAATTAATAATCTACAGCAATTCTCCAAAGAAATTAGTTCAAGCAATTAAAACTTAACAATAAATCATACAACTCTTCAGGGAGAAAAGCGCACAAGCCATCTGATTAATTGGTGTTATGACATTCTTCATGCTAGTTTTTTGAGGAACGAGGAAGAAAGGGAAGAGAAATGATGATGTCGTGGTTGATTGAAGCATAAATATACAAAAAAAGTCAAGAAGAACTTGGAAGAAAGGAACGAAAAGAAATGAAAAGAAATATGAGACGATAGTTGGTTTATGTTGGGTGGCACGCGCGATTGCCATAAATGTTGATAGACATAAAACTTCCTTTCATTTTCATGATGTTTTATATTTTATTTCGTGACCTTTCCCTTGCACTCGATTTTAATAAGTATGATCACATTCTTAACACTTATCTACTCTGCTATAGAAGAGAAAGAGGTGACCTCGAAAGAGATTTATTTTTTTAAAGTAAGTGTCTAATGATGATAGACGTTATAAATACACATGTATTAAAAAAAACTATGCTTCAGTAAAAGTAAAGGAATAAGAAATCTTTTCTTCTCGCGACGTGAAATAGTGAAAGTTTTTCATGAGATATTCTAAAAATAGCGACAAAAGCGATGGCACGTCTGGCTGAATCTTGGAGTCATCAATTTTAATAACTCTGTTTCTGCAACTGTTTTATTATTTTCATCTTCTCAAAATGTGCATTTGCGGTGTGGATTGCTCTCGTGTGATAAATCGTGTTGCAGGAATTGCCAATTTTTTTTCCTCTTCTGGTTTGCTTTAATGTACTTCAAATATATTTTATTTTTACTTCCCATGCTGAACGGAAGTAATCATTTCAGCAATATCATCGTGTGATGCGAGAAAATTTAATTAAATTAACTGCTCTCATCTTTTATTTTGTCTTAAGGCATGATTTTTTTTTTGAAAAAAATATTAAAAAGTTTTAAGACATTTGAAAAAAATGTGCAAAATCATGAAAATTAAAATAAATGACTTAATCGTTGCAAATTCACTGAATATAAAAGGCTAAAATTTTTATAATTTAATCTGCGATAAGTTTGGGGATCGTTTACTAGGAACGTCTATCATAATTATTGGAGTCTGAACTTCTTCTTTACCTAGAGATTAAGCTTGACTCGGTTTGTAATAACATAGCATTATTTATGGTTAAGAAAATGGCTTTAGAAGTTGATTGGAAATCGTAGCTTAGTCAACAAACTTAAGATCTGTTGAAAGAGCTTACTTTGGTTTCTTTATCCCATGAATTCCTTAATCGATTTCTAAAATACAATTAAATATGATTATACTAGATGGGACTGGGTTAAGCTAGGTTGGGTAAGATTTGCTAGATAGACAAGATTAGGTTAGGTAAGGTGAGACTAGGTTAGGTAAGGTGAGACTAGGTTAGGCTATATTAAGTTTGATAAGAAAAGATTTGATTCAGTAAGATAAGTTTAGGTAAGTTTAGGGTTAGGTATCATAGTTCAGGATAAGGGAAGATATAGTTCGCCAAATAACTTTAGAAACTGAGCCAGCTCTAGTTGATTGCTAGACACCACAAACAAACAATCCCCAAACTTAAAAGATGACATCTGAAAGTATTAAATGAGTGTTTTTGACAAAAAATGTTTCGTTGTTTGATATTTTCGCTACAACTTTTTTTTCTTGCTAAAATGTAGGACATCCACAATGTTTGCGTAATGGAGAGACACACAGTAATTTTCTTAGGAACAACAATAAAAGAAAAAAAAATTAATCGTTGAACAAAATAGGCAATTTGCTTAGTAATAAAAATAAGAAAAGATCTTAGGCATTTATCAAGAGAAAATACATCCTATATGCTGTTGGATTTAATGGATTATTAAATGGTTAATAAACATGTTTAGGAAAATTAATATGAGCATGTTAATTAAGCATCGTTTAATGACTCATAAATGAAATTCGATCTTAATAACCTTGGCCTATTTTGAGAATTTCAAGTTTGACTTTGACTTCAGGTGCTAAGACACAATCTTAATTATTATTCAAGATTGATCATTATATAAGTAAGTAGACATGCTCCAGGCAATTCGTATATTTTTAAAATTTGAATAGACAAAAATCATTCATAAGAAGAATGATCGTGAATGAAATAAGATACGGAAGGAATTTTGTTTACTAAACATTAGGTTTTTCTGGCAAAAAAAAGTGTATTCATTCAAAAAGTGTATTCAAAAAGTGTGTGCTACATTTGAGGAAATCTTCCTTGACATAGCGATAAAGAATGAGAATTATCATAAATTTTTTTTTTTTCTTGGGGAGTTTTATTAAGGTTATGAGGTTGATTAGGATTGTTGTGGTGACTAGGGATTATTAAATTACTTTTGTCGCAATTCAAGTTGTTATTCTAGAATGAACTGTCTAGAATCTGAGGAAATATAATTTTTGCGCTTAATTAAGAACTTTATGATGCAGAATCTCAAATCAGATCCAATTTATCGATTTTCATTCATAGGATTGTTGTTTTTACAAGAAATAGTCTAAGTTTGAAGCATTTTGATTGGTTTTTAAAATAATTTTCTGGATGTAAGTGAAGAAATTTTCAATTTTGCGGATCCGAACCATTTTTGACTTAAATTCTAATGATTTCTTATTTAAATGCTATTCAATATCCAGAAAGACTACGACGAAAGTTTTAATCTTAAAATAAATCATCAAAAAACTCAAATTCCATACAAACAAGCCAAAAACATAAATAGAACCAAACAATAAACAAACTTACAGGTCATAAATCACCAAACTGGCTAATAGGCTAATTGCCAACGGAAATGAAAAGTAATTCCAATCAATCTTTTCGATAAGCCCATAAATGCACAAACAGAAATGCAATTTAAATCCCATTCCAATTTCATTCATTTGAAATTTACTGTCTGCGTTTTATTTTTTGTCTATAAGAAATGTTTGCGTCTCAAATAGAAATGAAAATTAAATATCAAAAAGCAGTTTTTTGACTCTTTCCTTTATTTTTAGTCGCGTTGATTATTTTGCACATTCGCGAATATAAAAAAAAAACATTCCTACTTGTCGTTTACTTTAAATTAGCTGCTTAGAAACATTTTTGACTAATTTAATCGGAATGCTTGTCAAAAGCAGCATCAAGAGACAAAAGATGCGAAAAAATGCTTATAAAGTCATAAATTTTTCAATTCAGAATCTTTCAACAATACTAAGGCTATTTTTGAAGTGCGAGAAATAGACACTCCATAGAGGAATGCCTTTCGTGTGAAGAGAAAGAACAACAAGAAGAAACGTAAGACTGTATATTATTTTTTTTCGTCTATCGCGAGCATCGGCAACGAGCGAGAATGTTTAATAATAACTTCGCCCCCCAGCAGAATCATCATATGACTGCCTTCATGTACTTACTTTACATATGCATGTACTATGTTTATACTTTCCATGCCCTGTGATGTTAACTGTCGGAATCTCATGTCTAATGCATCATAAAAAAGAATGCGTGTAGGTTAAAAATAGATGCACTTTTATGTCGCGATATACAATTTATGGTACGCGCTACAGTCATGCGATTTCCGTTCAGATGATGCCTTACAATTTAATTGAAAAAATCCATTCATTAATTCAAGCTTTTTTTTCTCCTTTTTAATCATTGTAGGCATGAATGAATCCATTGATAAATATCAACTTCTTACGTCGTCGATCGCGACATCAAGTGGCTTTTGCGATGATATTGCCCCAAGTAATATCGATGAGGATGTCCTTAATTATTTGTCAACATTATCACCTAATCAACAAAGACTGTTAGATGATTTCGTATCATTCAATGACCATCCAAGTCTCAACTTACAGACTCAATCGACATTATCATCAATATATGAAACACAGTCACAAATACAACAGCCGCCTGCTGTTTTAACATTTGCATATGGCAATAGCGTTGGCGCAAATAACTATTTTGGACGTCCCATGTCAATGTATGAGCCATACGTGAGACAAATCGATCAAGAGTTTAGTTCTCTTCCACCTGATCTAGTCAGCAGTACGGATCCAAATTCGTGCATTGAAATCGATCCAGTTTATCATCAAAAATTCTGTTACGAGGCTGAAGATGCTGAATATATTGAGACATTAAATGAGATGCGCGAGAATCTCGAGTCGGAGACAAATGATCGACATCAAGTGACATGTGTAGCTGATGTTCATCACGATAATAACAATTTATATGCTACTGTTCAGAAGCCAAAAAAGCATCAAAGTTTGATGATGATAACATCAAGTGAAAGTACAAGTGCTCCACTCGAGAAATTTCCAAAAATCATGACTGAATCATGCTATGGACAATTGAATAATCCAATTGAATATAATGTATGGAATAACTATGAACAAGACTTGATAGAAGAGGATGGAAGCAATCATCAAATCATTTCCTCCCTCATGACAACAACGACGACAGATTCGTCGATAATTGATGGCATTTCCTCTATAAATAGCTCCATATATGAACAAATACCTTCAATGACTTCATCGATTGAAACAGCAATGACAACAGCAACTACGCGCCAACGCAAAATTGTCAAATGGTGGGATGATCATATCGAACATACGGAAGAAAGCTTACAGAATCTACACGAGACGGCTGAAGAGGGTGAGTGTTTAATTATTATTATGAAATTGAAAACTTTTTTTCAAGGTTGACAACGTGAAGATAATTTTTAGAACAGGATTTTTTTTATTATGTGTCGAGTCGCGACTAGTTGTTTAGTGTTACAAAGAATTACGAAATGTGCATGTTATAGCTTGGAACATTACGTGTGATTAGTTTATCTTCAAGTCAAGATAAATTAAAATGAAAATTTCTGACGTGCGTTACATTATTTCATCACGAAAAGCCACTTTAGCGTTGACCTTAAAGCACTTATGAAATTTTATTTTATTTTATTTTCGATACCGGCATAATTTTTTCGAGTGGAAAAAATTCAGCATGTAGGCTGTCGTTCTACATTTTAATTTCTATTGTAGCTCACTTGAGTGAGTTCTAGGGATTATTGGCATGAATAAATGCAAACAGGATGCTCTTTCTGTTATTAGCGTCAGAAAGGTAGAGATGTCTGAATGTGTGGCTAGCTAGATGTTCTCATTGGGTTTTCTTGTAGTCTATTTATTTGAATCAGTGGTTTGTTTGAAATGTCGAATTTCGCTAAGTATGATGTAACTTTTTTTTGGCACAAAGATAGACTGCGTCCATAACACCTGTAAGACTTATAGTATTTTTTTGGCTCTAAACAGTTGTTTAGTCTGAAAATAGCTCAAACAAAAATAGTTTTTTTAAAAGAAGAAACTTTTTGTTGCGCTTGATTCTTCCCACTTTGGATTGGGAAAGTTAAGCTACTCTTTAAAAATTCTGTCCTTGAGACTTAGATTAATGATTGAGGAACTAGCAAGGATTTCTAAAATTTTGATTGAAACTTTTAAAGATTGATATTTGAGAACTGATTATTATCAATCAAATCTAACCTTGATGTTGCTGTTTTATCTTTGACTCTGAACAATCCAACTATTCCAGGGATAAAGTTGACCGTATTCTTGATAGCTTTTATTGACCAACTGCAATTCTTAAGTTTGAGTTCAAAAGATCAACGAATCATAGAATTTATTAAGCAATTAAACGAATTAAAAGCTATCCAAAAACATTAATCGATAGACAAAAAGAATTTAACAGCCACTTAAAAGTTAAATTCTAGATCCGCATATTCAATTACCGATTTTTATCAAATTTTCATATTTTAATTAATTTTCTGCGTAGACATAAAATTATTGACAAATTCATAAAAAAAACCTCGCGTCAATAAAAAATTAAAAAATCTCAATTCATAAAATTATCCACAAGAATTGATTCATAAAAAAATAGACAATAAAACTTGATTTTTAGATATATTTTTATAGCTTTCTTCTTCTGTTATCGAGTTCCTCGCAAATTAAATTCTCTTGCCAATCATTCCTAAAGAACATCAAACGAACCTTGAAGTTGTGTTTATTTTTTGCTGCGCATAGATAACATGAAGCTTACATAACTTGAAAAGCATTTTACCGGCAATAAAAGATAAAAAAGAACTAAAAGAGAGCCACTTGAATACTATGTAGAGTAATATTCACAAAAATAACAAAAGACTCTGCCGACACATTTGAAAAATTCGCTGAAAAGTGAAGAACTTGATAGTGCAGACGGAATAAAAAAAATTTGAGACATTCGTTTGCTGATTCATTTTGACTGTTTTTTTTATTACGGGGGGACTTATAAAGAATTTAATCATATTGCTTGTGTACACATGGTGTAATAATTATTTTAACCGTAAAGCCAGTCGTACAATTAATGGAAAAAAAAATTTAATGAGTCAAATAAAAATAAAAGTTTGCATAAAAATTCCAATAACATGATGACAAGCTGGATGTATAAAATATTCAAATAATGTTCACTGATGTGGAGGAATGATCTTAGGTGAAAATTGGGTATATTGTGGGTATTGGATCGATTCTCTCTAAAAGAGAGGTCTGAAATTTTCTTATTCAAATGTTCATCTTAAGGAAAGTTTGATACCCCATGCATTTCCTTGGCTGTGCATCCAGTCAGTTATTTATAATTTATTTGCCAAATGATTTGGAATCCAGGACGATATATGTATAGGACCATAAGTAGCTTTATTGAGATTAGACAACAGACGAGACGTTCTTTTGTGTTAGTCTGGGTTCGATTCCCACCAATAGCTAATCTTCTCAATCATTCCAAATGTCTCTTTGGATATTAATAAGCTTCGAGCAATGCTCAGAGTAATTTGTAAACTATCCAATTCAGATTTAGATTTTAAAAGATTAAGTCAACTGATCAATTCCTGTGTCGGCACTTACTAGACAAGAAAATACAATACTTTTGAGTTACAAAGGAATAGATAATAAACTAATATACACAGTCTTTAATTTTTGCCAAAAAGTAATTTAAAACGATCTTCAATACGTGCTTACAATCAGGAATAAACAGACATCCGAACGATATAAAAGATTCAAGGCCACTAATGACCACGGGTCTAACGGAAACAGATATTGTCTTCATTGTGTATTTAGAATTGAGAATAAGCATAGAATTCCGGAAAATCATTCAATAAATTAACTCATTTCCAATTTATTCAGCCAATTATTAAGTCAGGTAGACGTAATTAAGATGTGAATTGAATTTTGGAATTGTTAATAAGTGACAACATTAAAAGATAAGATTTTATAGCCGTTTTGCAAGCTATCTAGAGTTTGTTTTACCTAATTTACTCTAGTTTTGCTTTTGTATGATAATAATCAGCATGAAACTCTAACAATATAGTCCTCTTCATACCTTTTTCGTATACTTTTTAAAATTCAACATATTGACTAAGTTGAGACCCAACTATTGACAAAAAAAATCCGATAATAAATCTTAATAAACTACTGAACAGCCATAAAACACTCAATCAACTGATAACAGACCACTTGAACCATATGCTGCTCGGAAGTAACCACAAAAAGTCATAAAAAAATCTAATGTCATTAAATGTTGTCAAATAGAACATGATCTGCACTAGCTGCAAGTCAAACGTGTTTTTTAACCCAATTTCATTAGAACGTGTTGAATTTTTCAACAAAATCCTTCACATGTCCGATTCTAAGACTTCATACAAGTTACAGGAAAGTCATTCGCACCCATAATTCTAACAAAAGTATCCCTAAGGGCAATGTAAGGTGTTTTATTGATGCAATTTATGTTTTTTTGTTTTTATTCCATCCACTTTACGTCCGTCTTACTAACGAAATTATATTTTTTGTTTCGGATAAACTGTAAGCGAAAAAAAAACTGCAGGCAGAACAGGTCGAGCAAGTTTGAAAATTGTCATAAAAAGCAAATTTTCGATGTTGTGTTTCTACAATATTGTCAAGCGTAAATTAACTTTTTATAGCATTTTAATAATTAGTAAAATGTTGGAAATTAAAAATCAGAATCGACGATGAAATGAAGAGAAAGCCATTGACCCTGAACAAATCACTTCGTATGTATACTTTTCTAAACTATTTCTGGATGTTCGTATGCTTGCTTCTTATCATCATGTGAGTCGAATTAAAATGTTTTTTTTTTGAAAGGTTTATAAAAAAAAATAAATACGAAAAAATGTTTCTTTTTCAAAATATTTGCAATGTGCGTGAAGTCGTCGTTATCAGTCGTTGGCGTATTTTTATATCAAGGCCTCATTTTTTTAAAAAAAAAATGTGTCAATACAAAAACATTTGTGGAAGTAATTGAAAGTGTATGTTTTACTCAGTGTTGTTAAACCTCATCTTTTGATTAAATATTGTTATTATTATAAAAGCTAGTCGCATTTGTGTGTCATAGACAAATAACAGATATATTTTGGATGCAACAGCCAACCAACCAATCAGCCAAAAAACAACTCTGATTTTTATTGCATTGTTCATCATAAAAAAACGAATAATTTGCGCTTAATTTGAGGCACACAGGGAAGCGCCAGAGAAAATAAATTTCCACAGCAATCAGCACTCGTACTCAATTCCTTATCAATCAGTCATAATTCTCACGCTCCTCCTCGTGCCCAATTTATTGCAAATGCCATCATCACTTCCTCGTGCTATACTATTTGGTTATACTTGAATGTTGCATGCAAAAATAATGCAGAATAAAGTTCCTCCTTGTTAATATTTCATTCATTACGTAAAGAAAATATATTATTACTATAAGATGAGATAAAGATTTATGTCCGAAGGCTGACACTATAAATTTGTAAGAAATTCCTTCAACTTTAAAAAAATCTCATTTTCTCGTTTAATATTCAAAAATAATATTAAGTTTCAAGTCAAGCAGATGGAATCACAAACAAAAAATTAATATCTGGTTTGACATTACCGCACTATGATGATGATGATGATGAGAGGAAATGCTGGGAGAAAAAAAATTTTCATAGCTAATAAGCTGAAATGAGATTTGATGTAGAAAAAAAATTGATCATTATGAGAAAATAAGCGTGGAAGGCGCCACTTAGTTAAAAAGTAAATTCTATAGGAAATATTTACGTGCATCATTTAAATCAATTAAGACTCCGTTAAGCTTTGATGCGAATAAATCGCACACGTCGAATGATTTTTTAGAGTATTAATATATTTAAATATTTTATTGGAGCTTTTTGGTTGTGGAACGTGTGATGGTGATTGAAAGATTTGAAAGGTTTTGTTTATTTTTGTGTCTAGTCAACAGAATTTTGATATTTTTGAATCAATTTATTGTTTTGCTTTGAAAAGTAAATGTTTAAAGAGCGTGATTGATTTGAGTTCTTTTTTGTGCCATTCTTAGGAAGTAAATAAGATTTAATGTTCTTTAAATAGCTATTGATTGAAATTTTAATTTGCATTTTAAACTTAAATATGGGTAAATTATTCGTCTACCATTTTGTTTTTCTAAAGTTGCATTTTTGAAATTCTAAAAACCGTTTAATTTTTGAATTTGTTAAAGTCGAGTTTTTAATTCAAAAACTTTATCTGATATGAACTAACCGATGGAAAGCGCCTTAGTCATTCCGACCATAAAACTAAACTGCACTCAAGCTATTAAATTCTTTTAAATAATTCCAAACTTTTTATGAGCCATTCAATAAATTTAAACCAAAAATCTTCTTTTCTTCACATTAAGCACTTGAAACTATGTGTATATACATCCATGAATTCCATACACATATGATGATAATTCTATCCACTCTAAAGTCGCCTAAAAAAATTTGTATTTCCATAAGCCTTCCAGCAAACACATATGTGCAAATATACTCACATATAATAATGTTGTATATAAAAATAATAAAAATAAGAATCAAGTTATTTTTTTTTCGTGTGTTTATTTTGAGTCGTCGTTAAAAAATAAATTCTTTTCTGTCGCTTTTCAATAATGTTTAGTTTGCCGGATCGAATCGCGAATGGAACTTACTCAAGTTTCATGTGCTGATGAAATAAACATAAAAAGACACAAAAAACAAAGTTGATAAAAACAAGAGCCCAAAATAAGAGACTGATTGAAAAATGATATTGGAAAGTTATCACATGTCGAATTGAATTTTAATTGTATTACACAATCATAACAGAAAACGTTTATTAAAATATTATTAAGTGAAAATTTTTTAAAAAAAAAGATAAATAAAAAATTGAGCAATAAAAATCACATAAAATATTCATTGAGTGTGCAACACAAAAAAATTGTATTTCCGAGGTTTGGATTATACGATGATTAATGAAATGAAATACAATGTAAAACTGCCAATACTCATTACTCCATGAGACGCATTGTGGAATCGAGAACAATAGAAGTTGCCAACAAATTATTTTTGTGTTTTCCATTATCGCGAAAAAAAGAATAAGTAAAGAAAGAAAACAAGCGAGCAGGCAAATACAAAACAGAAAGAAAAAGTTCATATCGATATGACATTTCGGTAATGATTGCAATGAATGAGTTTTAATACACATGTGAATACATAAAGATTGACAAGCTGGAAAGAAAAAAAATTGATAAACACAAACAAATAAGTTTCTTCGGCTGTTGCCGTTCAGCAATGTTGCGTAAAAAAGCTATTTACAAAAACTCTTTTGGTATGTACATAAATCTTCAAACATTCATTCATTCATAAGTTTCCATTATTAGATTAGACGAGTCATTCAGAAATGAGGTTTACTATAGATTAGGCACAGTCCCTTCATGTTAAGGAACATAATCTATATCAAACTCTTCACTGTAAGCTAGGGTTAAAAAGCTATAGGAAGTTTATATTTAAACCACTTTACGTTAAGTGCCAAAATCCTAGTCGTACAACAGTATTGTAATGACTGAATGGTTAAGAGACTCAACCTTAAGTCAAAAGTCAATGTTCCAAAAGTTTGAGTTCGAATCCCATATTGGAAGACCCAGTATCGTAGTAATTTCAGTGCATCCTAACATTGACCTAAAGTGTCTCTAGAGTCTCAATATTGTGTTGCTACTCAACCTTAGATTATTACCGCAAAATATGATGAGACATCATTTGTCAATAAACCTTATCAAACACGAAACGACATGTACGATTACAACGTAAATTAGGAAATGATGATAAGGAAAAGAAAATGACGTTTGATCAATTTATAAAGAAATGATGTGAGACCTTTAAGTGGGTTAAAAATAAATTGTGTCTGTGATAATGAATTTTATTCGCCACATGTCATTCGGTAGACGCCGGGAGTCTGCTTATTTTTTAAGTACTTTTTATCACTGTAAATGATAAGTACGTCGACCTGACTCTCACATTGTAAAAGATTAACGTCAATTGTTTTGAAATTTTGATTAATCGCGTTGTGAACGTTAAATTGCATGAAATCAGCGAATTATATTTCAATTAAATGAAATAACCGCAAACAGCACACGACAAGCCTCGAATTAAGAACGAATGTAAACATTCAAACAAGATCATAGTCATATAATTTTATTTCCTTGCAAAGCCACTTAACTTCGTCAATATCTTCTTTCCTACCCGACTTTCCTATCATCCACATTACGAAAACTAACAACTACATGAAAATTGCCTTCACATGTTCCATTCAACTTAACTTATGAATGAATCGTTTACACATTTTTAATGACAACAAAATAAAATTTAGATTACAAAGACTTTCCGGCTACTTTAAATTGAGATTGCCTATATTGGCAAGTGTATTTTTATTTGGGCAACCTTGAAGCTGGATTAGCTTCTATTCTTGTTGCTCATTAAATATTTTTTCGATCAATTTATATAGCATATTAATGTATATAAATGAGAAGATATTGCTGATATAATATACAAATATTTCTGTATTGATGATGTCAGTCAGCGTGTGGCTATAATCTATTAATAATATATGTAGATATGTTACATGATTGAATAAAATGCTATCGATGATGCTCGAGGGTCAAGAAACATTAATTTGAATAATCAGTATTAAGATGCTTTTAATCATAACATAATAATATTTTAATGCTACAAAACTCTTAAAAATAATCTCATTCTAATGCTTTTAGTCTTACACTATTGGGCCATCGATGAGATAATTCATTGTTTTGAGATGAATGTGGCTGCTTGTTTGATTTGACAGACTGGTTGGCTTCAAGTCAATGTGATAATTGTTTCTCAGACAATGCTTTGTTAAATATTGATTTAAACTTCGTTAGATGTTGTTCATTTGACTTTTGCCATCGCATGGATTACCTTTTGATTCAAATGTTTAAGAATAAACAAAGAATTCAGATAGAATTAACAAAATACTTTTTGAAGTGAGAAAATTCGCCATTTTGTATCTTAATTCTACAATCTTAAGATTCAAATCTTAAATAACCGTTAAATTATAAAACATAAAAATTCTCAACATGAACTATGATTTCACATAAAATAGTCAATAAAAATATGCGTTTCATCTATTTGATCATAAAAATTTACAGCTCATGTTATTCTCAAATGAAAACTCTTTTATGTCGAGAGAATATACCTAATCATATCCATTTAAATATTCACTTTTATGTGCTTCTCATTTCTTCATTAGAAATTGTTCAAGTGGAAAATAACACATGAGCAACAACGTCTATGTCTGATGAGAAATGCATTAAACAAGTTTATGAGAATCACTTTTTGTTGCTGTTTTCAAGAAATGCTTGACACTCCGGACACTCCCAAAGCACTCTACAGTTCACCATCGTTTAATTGTCTCTTTTTTTTTGGTTCATCGGTGCTTAGGTGGGCATAGACACAATGCTAAAGTGATTATAAATTCAAAACTAATTAATTAATTTAACCAAAAATAAAAAATCAAAATCTACCATTAATGACATAAATTTAACAAATCTACACCTTGTAGGCCCGATGTGATAAAGAGACATTCCAAAAAAATATGCTTTGGCGAACTCGTACACAAAAAATAAAAATACTAATTAAGAATTCTCTCAAGCCAGTGGATTTGTGTCTATTTTGTGAAGCTTTTGATATGCTGCGTAGGCTTCACATAATCTCATAAGGACTTTCCAAAGACTAATAGTAAAATATATCGTTATAAAATGTAAATTCCGTTGACTCAACTGATATTAAGTTTGCAAAAAAAAAAATTGTGAGATGGTTTGGCTGAAAGTTTGATGGGTCCAGCTTAATGGATGTGGACTCTTATAGGTTAATTCGATTTTTTTGCACATAATTCCTCGAAATCAACACCTAATTTAGAGCACATTATATGCACAAATGTCACACAAGCATGTCAATGATACAAATCAGCAACTTTCCCACTCATTACTTCACATTTCAATCAAATCAACACAATCCATTAATTTACCATGAAATTTGACAACTTTTTGTCGTATCATTTCCATAAAATTTTAATTACACACCAGATACATTCCATTTCCATCCTCAATTTCTCACATTTATCTTAATGTTAAATTTAGTTTTTTCATGGACTCACGAAACATTGCTTCAAAATGAAAACTAAACTTTCGTCCATAAATGGACGTTGTTGATCTTCATTCCCTTGTATATATCAATTCATGATAAAGTTTCACGCAGGTTGATTATATTACAATCTCACAACGTGTATCTCTATCGCAAAATCTTTAAAAATGACTTTTTAATTAAAAGCTTAAAAGAGAAATGTGACAAAAAAATCTTGTATAGAATTCGTTACTTGTTGCTGATTAGAGCGCATTTTACTGACCAAAAATAGGAAATTGAAAGTCAGAGAGATAGAGACAGAATGGCAACAAGACAGTGAGACAGATATAGATTAAAAGACTAGGACAGAAAAACAAATAGGCAAATAAATAGTCATATATATTAGCTATTAAATAGACAAAGTGCAGACCATAGTTCTGTAAAAAATGCACCGTAACTACAAACGTCTTGCCATGATTTGATGGAAAGTAAACGAGGAGAGACGATCGATGTTTGTATCAATGACCAACTAGCTATAGATGGAGTTTTGGTTTTGCAGCAACAAAAAAAAAACCGATCGACTGTGGTTTCCATTCATTCATTCATAAAAAGACATTAAAACGTAGGAAATGATGACGCAAAAATAAAATAAGAATAAAATGATATTTACATACATATTGCGGCTATAATGCAACACCTTAAAAAAGTCCTACTCAAATCACTTTAATGCACACATGCGAGGTATCGTCATGTCGACAGGAAATACAACCAACGGGATCCAGCAGTTGACACAATTGTTATACAAGTACTAACAAACCCGTTTTAATAATAGCGATTTTCATTTTCATTGCAGATTTCTCATTATGATAATGTTATTATATGCATCATGTATCTCTGAATGGCATAAGTGCAAAGAGATAGAGTTAGAGATTATAATCTATGGGCATTAGCATTAAACACATGTATACAATCCGCTATTATTATTATTTACAAAGAGTGAAAAAGAGATAAATATCGATTATAGTGCATAGTGCATATCACCCAATTATGCACTATATTCGCTATTAACTATGAGAAAAGTATGAAGTATAACGTTAGCGGAGATTGTTTGAGAAGAGCTTTTTTTTTTGACGATTTAGAGATTATAACTGCCTATAGATCCAAAAAAAAGGAAATACGTACGATATGGGACCTAATAGCATCTTGCAAAATTATGGGAATTGAACCCTTGAACTTTTATTTAAATATCTGAATTTCTTATTCATTGGCCTATCAAGATATATAAATTGATCAGTTGAATACTGCAAAAACATGTATTTTATCAAATTTATTCGAACTATTTTTGTAAAACTCTCACAAGTCCTGCATCACTAGTAAAGATGATAGTTCTGACGGATGGTGCTCAAAATCATAATATTCTGGTAAATTTATTCTCGAATTTGCCATAATGAATTCTCAACATTGTCTTAGTTCCAAATCTGATTTTTCTTTGATCAACTGATTGAATAGCAGTCAGCAACAAGACATAAATATCTCAATCCACTCATCTTATCTCACAAATCTGCACCAAAAAGTAAATTAAATCACCAACAACGGAGCAAAGAAAATAATCATAAAATTTCATAATACATTAAATCTTGTATGTGAGTAACAACATGCAGTAAACAGCGATAGATAACTTCAATTTCCAGCAGGCATTAAAGCAATTTTCAGTTCATAAAATGTCCAAACATTTCATAAATAATGTCGGCTTTCGGAACCAATGCGCATTGCCATTGCACTGCTACTGCACATTATGCATATAAATATATTTTAATAATTTCATTTAACGAATCTGATGTGAGTTGAGACAAAGTAACACACTCATTAGTGGATTAAGGCGAACTGGTAATAAATAAAAATATGAAAAAAATATTGTGGCTTGTAAATATTCAGCTTAAGTCGTCAAGATAACACAGCAGTGAAATAAAAGAGACATGTGAAAAGAATTGTGAGATGGATAAACGTCATTTGCACATTAACTTCTATAAATCGATACATACAGGCTGTGGAAATAACTTTTATTAGATCATATATTTAAAATATCAGCAGAACTAGTGATATATTTATGTTATTTTTGCAAAGCTGTTCGGAAACAAGTTGGAGGGAAAATTTAATGCCATTAATTTTTAATTG